TGCCAAAGGGGGTGCTGCTAGGTATTCACTACGCAAGGTGGCCAAACTTTTGCTGCTCTTTTTCCTTTTTCTGTTATTTTAAAAATGTAAAAGATGAAATGGAAAAATGACTTTGTTTAAAATGTAAAGGGAATGTGTCGTCTGTAATTTCATGCCTTTTGGTGAACATTTCATCTCCCACTTGCTTAATTGTTCACATTAACAGTAATTTGGATTTTTTTCTTGTTCTTTTTCTTTCACATTCTGAGTAGATTTGACAATTCAGTTCAAATTGTTTTAATTATTTCCAATGACTGAGGCTGCTTGTGAGTACACTTCCTTTTTAGATCACTAATTTGTGTATCTGGGCATCACTGCACCAATAAATAATCTATTTTTGAAGGTGAAGTCCGGTCTTACTACCAGTGTCCGTTGCAGGTCATGTCAAATTTAAACTTGGGCCACACTTGACATCATTTTGGCATCACACCATGTGCTGTCCTCACATCACACAAAGTGTAAGATGAAGTAAAAGTTAAATTTAAAACCTCATGCTACAACTCTATTTGGTGTTTGGTACAAAAAGAAAACTGGCATTGTTCTCGTTTTCCAAAACTCATTTACAAGAGAAGTCTGTCTGATATAATTTACTGCAATTTAACGCCTCTGTCATTGACTGAGTTTTCTTATTTTCAGTAAGAAAAAAAGTCAGCGGTGTAGAAATATTTCAGCCACAGAGGAAGGATGATGTTGAACAAGAGCAGGCGCTCTGTCGGCTGTGTTGTGCAATTGTGGCCCCTGCATGAGGTATCTGAAACTAAATGCCATCCAAAGAAGAAAAAAAAAAACTATTTGGATGTCTTTGTCAGTGTTAAAGTATATGAGAAAAGTTTCCAACAGCAGAGAAATCACCGATGCAGTAACCTCCCAAAAGACATGATACCAATTAACACAGGTGCCGGGGTTTGAAAAACACGATCCGGTCGCTTTACGAGCGGCGTGCAATATCATCACGTGCCCCTTTTTCTCAAGTTGAAGCAGAGCCGTCAGACGTGGAATATAATGAAGCTGCCAGAGACTTGTGGTCCAGCTGGACAACGAAGCTCTACACCAAGTCTGACTTTTGTAATAGAGGAATAACAACTTGAAAGTAGCTGTTCACAAATGAAATGATCATACAAGCGAGAACGTTGCAGAGAAACGTTGGCTGTATCTGTGTACCATCATCATGAAGGCTGCTGCCCTGAAGAATGGACCAGACTGCAGAACTCTGGCCACATGCTACACCTTGCTGTTGGTAAGTTATATTTACTTGGCTGCTGCATGCAGAAAAAAACTAAACAACCCCATGTCGTCCTGTATCTTGCAGCCCTATTGCATATGGATGTGTATTCTTGCCAGACTCCTTTATCCGTTTTAGTGCATTTTAATTTTCATTCCAAAGTCATTTTTCACAAGTTAAGCAGTATTATTATATCCTTTAGTTAGAACCACAAGTTTCCTCAGTTGTCAACAAACAACAGTATTCAAATTTTTAGTGGGGTGGCAGCTCCAAACTTTAATCTGCTACCATCCTGCCAACATACATCCCGTTTTACGATGGCTCCATGTGCTCTGTTTAATTTTCTNTCCAACTGTTCGGTCTCTTGTCGACTACATAACAAATGGAATTGTACAAGCAACTGTCATAGTATTGTTGTAAAGTGAACATAACTTGGACTGGACTATTGTACAGTATAAAATCTCCAATATAGTCAAAAGATTATTTCAATTCATTTATAAATACAGTTGAAACCAGAAGTTTACATACACTGTTGAAAAAGACATAAAACCTTATTTCCTCACTATCCGACATTAAATCAGACTAAACTTTTCCTGTTTAGGATTACAAGCATTATTTATTAGATGTTATATTGTTTTGTTTTTAATACAGTGTATGTAAACTTCTGGTTTTAATTGTATATATAGTCACAGTCCAAATTAAAATTTTAAAAAAGTAAAAAAAAAAATTAAAAAAAATAATTTTGATTTCACCCAGACCAAATTAAATCATTCATATATATGTAGTATTTGTACCAGTCTTGTGTGACTGTTAAACATGACAACAGATGTATCACACCTCTTCATATGTGTTTGAATGAAAATGTTGGTGTGACCATTTGATGGTTACGGCGTTAAAGAATGTGAGCTTCACACCTTGTGAAGGTGGCGGTTGTATCAGATTAACACCTTGTAATGTGTCACACCTCACCATATATATCTGTCACAGTCCAAATTAACATTTGCTCAGACAGGATTACAATCTCATTATGACATAAGAAGGATTTTAACATTCTTTTCCTCGATAATGCACAATTTAAGTATTGTTAAGTAGCTCTAGTATCTTACAGTTTGATTCTGTGTTGACCAGAAGAGGCCAAAGTCTTCTGTGATGCTTAATGACCTCCAGGCAGTGCACAGGTTATATCAGGCCAGGATCAACTAGGATGCCACTCTTATACTCCAATATAACAGCTTCAAACAACACCAGCATAGTACAAATGTCTAGTGAGCTCTCTGTGAATTATAAATTCTTAAATTATTACTTGATAATCTTAAATTTGTTGGGAAAACTATTCAAATTTATGTCACCTTTGTCACAACAGACATAAACACAGGATCAGGCTTCGGTTTGTGTCGATACTGAGCGTTTAAAAACTTCCTTAATTAGATGAGATCAGGACATCTCTAATTAAATCCTGGAGTTTGGACAAAACCTTTGAGGACTGACATAACATGCACATCAAGTTCTTTGCTGATCTTTATTCCAGTGGCACGTTTTCTTAATTTACCCAAAATAAAATTATTTCTGTATTTACAAGTTTGTGAGGGAAAAGCAGCAGCAGGAGGAGGAGGGCTGTACATTTTCTTCACCTGCTCCGGATTTCTGCCTACTGCAGCTTTAATTTCTGCTGCACAGACTTATGTCTCTAAAAGTCGACCATGAAACGGAGTTAGACACACATCTTCGGTTTGCACCCAGCATTGATTTAAACAATGGAAAATACTTCACGCTAGTCAGTGGACAAATTACCTACTGTCGTGAGTTTGTCCTTTAAATCAGCCCTCTATGTGATTGGTACTTATCAGCTCCAGTCGGTCATGTCTGTATGTTTTGGTTCTGCATTGAAATCAAAAAAATTGTGACTATATATAATTATTTTTTCCCACCTGCCCCTGCAAACTCTTGAACCATGTCTGTTGCTGGCCATTCTGGTGTCTCTTGCACTTCCCTTCTGAAAAGCAGATTGTGTTGCTTTTGCCACACTCATGGCCCCATGTTGTTGTCAAGTTCTCTCCAGGTGTGCCATTAATCTTTTTTTTTTTTTTAAACTAAAAATGCAATCCTTTCTGGATTTACATTAAGGAGAAAATCCAGTTGTTTACTTGTCTGTCTCTCCTCTCCTTTCAACGTGGTGCCATTATTTCTCTTTTAAAGTTTATTTAAATACCAAACCGCTTGCGTGTGTGAATTAAATCACTCTGAAGTCTGTTGGTTTTAAATGTTACTTAGTGTCCAACACTCAAGGTTTCCCACTGTTTCCCTGCAGCGCGCACACACAGCAGCTCTCTTTGAAAACTACATCACGGTTTGAATGTAAAAACACAAATTGCCTAAAACTCCATATACATCATGAGTTCTCAGTGACCCTGCTGAATCCAGGGTGAATCATGACATCTGCTGGCCGAGAGCGGTACTGCACGAGCGTCTGTGTAAGTTAAGTTCATTAATCATCATAACTAAAAATATATTTTATTCAGTCAGCAATTAGTCTGTGAATTACTTATTAAGAAATTACATCGATTTTCCCTTCATGCCTCAGCCGACTCTCCCTGCGCCGTTCTCTCCACTGGATTTGTTAATGTACTCCATTGACTGGAAGTGTGGAACAAGAAAACTACCTCTGATTAGACTGTTTGTCATCGCACAGTTTGTACTTCTAAAACAATTCAAACTAATTGCATACAATGTGTTCAGTTGTTATTGATTAAGGTGTTACAGTGAATCAGAGATGCCACTGATATGAACAGAAATCTGCTGCAGCTTCAGTGACAGAAATCACACGTAGCCACGCTGGTTGGTGAAACTTACCTGAGAACATAGGAGGGTCTCAGCAGACACGGATATCCCACCTGGTTGGCAAAGGCAAAGGCGTCTTCCTGTGATGGAGAAAAAGAGCCGATGTTAATATGGTGAATTCAGATATCATCAAGAATAATCTGACACACGTTAGAAAAACACACATTAGGTTCCAGTGACATTATCTGTGTACAGTCGTGACTCGATAATCCGACACTAAATGTAAAACCTTCTTTTATGTCGGATAGCAAGGCTGTCGGATTGTCAAGACGGAGGTCGAGATACAAGGAGGGCTTGATGTTGGAAGGTTCATTTGTTGTTAATATTTAGTGTTTATAGATGTTATAATAACTAGTATGGCTGGTCCCAATAGCACTTTCTGGGCTCCGGATATTTGGGCCCAATTAATGATGAATATCTGGGGACACTTCCACTCCAGGGGAGCGCTCAGATGGGGTGGAAGTGGCCGGAACACAGGCCAAGTACACAGGCAGTACTTGCTGATGCTAGTTTAGTTAGCGGCCACACTTCTGTTTCCTCCATTGGTGGCGGCGGGGGAGTGGCAGATACGCTCCACCGTTACCATCCATGTTTACTTCCCTAAACACTGAGCACGCTCGCTGCGCGTGACGTCGTCGTGTCCTCTTCGGCGCATGCGGGACACTTTTGGGTCGTATGAAGTTCACACAGCAGATCACATACAAGTCGCATTTAATTCGAATGTGAACGAACTCACAAAAAAATCGGATTTCACAAAAAAGTCTGAACTGAGCATCAAGTCCTGCAGTGTGAACGTAGCCAATCTGTGGGATTGTTCAGTCAGATAATACGCCGTTATCCTGATTTGTGACAAAAAATGTCATGTCGGAGTCAGAATCCAAGGCTGTCAGTATGTTTAGGCTGTTTTTATGAGTTTTTCCTAAAAACCTGTCGGATAGCAAGGTTTAGGATTGTTAAGGGTCAGATTATCGAGTCAGGACTGTATATTACAAATGTATTTATGTTGGAGGATGCACAGCAAATAAATACATGTTTATTGAATTAAAAATGGCAAAAAATAAAAACCAGATAACCTCAATCAAACACACTAATGTCTGGCTTGTACAATAAATCTCCTGAGCCACTGAATGACTGTATTCAGACATAACACCAGCATGTAACCAGCCTGTGTTACTGCTGTTACCGATGAAATGGCACAATTTTGGCGCCCCGATTGCTCCGAGACTTACAGTCACTGAGGTAGAGTCCTTTTTTGAGGCACACAAAGAAGAAATAGCATTGTAACCAACACAAAAGCACAGGATTTAAGTCACAAAAAAAAAACAGTTCTTCAAACCAGCTTGGTCCATCGGTGGCCTCTCATTCTTCACGAGCCTGAGCTTCTCTCTGAGTATTTATCCATATGGGAGGAGCATAATGTGAGAAAGCTACATGATTACAGCCACTTGAGATGAAAACAAAGATATCAAAAGAAGGGCTTGTTTGCACTTGACCTCATCCTGGTCGTGATAAGCCTTTCATACATCAAGCCACCCCCTTTCAGTTTAACTACACACATTTAAAGACCTCCTGAATAAGGGGGAAGGGGGGGTTCTCCAACATCTGCAGAGAACAGAGCAAATCATTGGAGTAAAAGGGAGAATATAAGTGCACCAACAGTCCCAAAGTGCAGCTTTGATTCATCTCCGTTCAATTGTTCCCCCCACGCCCACCCCAACCACCTTCGGTTCTACATGAGGAACGAAAGAGGAAGGAGTAGGATTTGTGGACGGAGTCTAGCAGCGAGAGAAAGGCTCCATGTCCTCCTCCTCCTCCTCCTCCTCCTCCTCATCATCATTATCATCATCGCTCTTTCTCCCTTCTCCATCTCTCTGCAGGTCTGGCCTTTTCCTCTCTCTCATTACCCACCGTTCACTCGCCAGGTGAAGTACGATTTACAAACACGAAATAGCTTCCCAGAGACGCAAAGAAGCGTCTCCCTACGGCTCTGCTTAAGTTATTCCAGCCCATTAAAAACAAACTGTTTTTTTTTTTTCAAGATTGGCATTGAAATAGAATACGTAGAAAGACTCTGGAGAGAGACAGAACCTTATCTGTGTGTGTACTAGATAATCGCTCCTCGGTGGTTGCTGAATACATGAGCAGCAGAAATGGAAGAGACGTATTTTAGCAACAGAAGTCAGATAGGTTTCAGTGGCCCATATGTTCCACAGAGGGATGAGCCAGCGCCTCATTCAGATGTCGCCAGGAGCCGGTTGAGTAGGATAGAAAAGAAAGTGCCCCAAAGTGGAGGCATCAGACAACTCGTGCATTGTTGACGTACATTTTGAACAAAAATTCCTTAATTTATCCCCCAAAGGCATAAAGTGTAGCAAAAACAGACCCGGGATGAAGTAGAAGTAGTGCTAAATATAAAATTTACAACTGTCTTATCTACAAAAAAATCTATTATAAAATTAAAATAATGCACAGAGGAATGTCTTTAAAGAGAAGATGTGGTTTTCCTGTTGTCAAACTAACATTTCCAGTCATCCTGAATTCGTCTCTAGGCTCTAGATTAGCGATACCGTTTCTCAGTTTGCAAAATTACATCAACAGTCAAAGCAACTGAACTTAGTTTTCAGACTTCATGGGGAACAATCGTAGCATCCTGGTGCTCAGGTCTTGCCTCACTTCTTCAGTAGCTATTTAAAAGGTTTTTTCACACATCATCAGAGCTATTATCATTATTATTGCGTTACTACATGACAATAACACTTTAACTATTCATTATTTATGCATCCTCTTACCAGCGAGCTCAGGGCCCTCCATGGGGCCTGGGCCACCTCGAGGTCATCCAGGATGCTGGAGAAGACGGAGCGCTCCTCGGCCCGGTCGATCTGCAGAGGGCTCGTCCCCAGAATCTTCACCCCGCTCAGGTGCAAGGGGACGGCCAGGTTGTTGGGAATCTGACCTCCCACTGACACGATGCTGCCGGAGCAACCCTGGAGAGGAAGAAGAAGAAGAACGTGCAATATAAATAAGAGATAAAAATCTAGTGGAATGCTAGAAGACGAAGGGAAGAGCAGAGTTACCCGCCACGGGGCCATCGGCCAAGATTTACAGCGTGAAACCTGTGACCGCTTCCAGTCACTGTGACCGCTGATCACACAGAGAAAATATGAGGCAAACACAAACAGTTGATCTTGGTGGTACCACGGGTTCAGTTATCACCAGAGAAGGTGTGTGTGTGTGTGCGAACAAGTGTGTGCGCTCCTTTTAATAACAGCATGCAGCTCCTTTTCCTGTCTAGCTGATCCAAGGGGGATGCTGTTTCCATGGCAATGCCAGGTTGTGTCTCTTCATTATTCATGGGCCTGCTCTCCTGTCCAGGGTTTATCTCCATGCTCTAATGCCATATTTATCACACACACACATATATACAAAGCAAGAGGGGACTGTAGCCGTGAGAGAGGGATTGATGGTAATGCTATCTCCCTGAACAAACAAACACTTAATCACACCCTGATCCCATCGCAACTTTAACTGGATTACAATTCCTCTGCAAGCCAAAGTCGGTGGACATTAGTCGGCAAACACGCGGCGCAACATAAACACACAGGCACCGACAAACACGAGACACGGAGAATATCAGGAAAATAGTGCCCTTGCACGTGTTTTGACATGATCAGGGTCAGCTGGGCTCCACACATGGCGCAGACTAGCTGCAGCCAGCCAGTACAGAACACTGTGTACGCTGATCAGCTACAGCTTTAAAAACACTCGTGTGAAATAAATAACACCTCGTTACAATGCTCAGAAACTTCGGGTCCTTTGCATTTTGTTTCTTTGACATGTGCCACCCATCTTAATACTGTTCCAGGTCAAGCACAGCCTGAAGTCTGGTGATACAGTCGTGACTCGATAATCCGACACTAAATGTAAAACCTTCATTTATGTCGGATAGCAAGGCTGTCGGATTGTCAAGACAGAGGTCGAGAAACAAGGAGAGCTTGATGCTTGAAGGGCAACTTGTTGTTAATATTCATTGTTTAAAGTTGTTATATTAACTAGTGTATTGTTAGAACACTATGCATCGCTGGATTTCATGCCTAATTGTGCACGTTCCGGCCACTTCCACCCCGGGGGAGCGCTCCAATGGGGAGGAAGTGGCTGGAACACACAGGCAGTACTTGACTGCTGATGCTACTTTAGGATAGCGGTCCCACTTCTGTTTCCACCACTGCCACTATACTTTTGCAAACACTGAGCACACTCGCTGCGTGTGACATCGTCGTGTCCTCTTCTGCGCACGCGGGACACTTTTGGGTCGTATGAAGTTCACACAGCAGATCACATACAAGTCGCATTTAATTGGAAATGTGAACAAACTCGCAACAAAAATCGGATTTCACAAAAAAATCCTCATTGAGCATTAAGTCCTGCAGTGTGAACGTAGCCAATCTGTGGGATTGTTCAGTCAGATAATACGCCGTCATCCTGATTGGTGACATTAAATGTCATGTTGGAGTCAGAATCCAAGGCTGTCGGTATGTTAAGGCTGTTTTTTATGGGTTCCGTTCGTTTTTCCTAAAAACCTGTCGCATAGCAAGGTTTTCAGATTGTTAAGGGTCGGATTATTGAGTCACGACTGTACACGTCTTAAAATAAATAATGCAGACCAGGGTACTAGCACAAAGACTGCAGACACCAGAACTGTTAACGAGATAAAAAACAAACAAAAACAACAGTTACTCCCACAAAATGACCCAAAACCATCACAGTGATGTAACATGATCATCTAGGAATATGTTTACTTACAAAACTATTTTGCAAGCTGCACGGCAAGAACAATGAGTGTCACAGAAAGGTCAGAAAACCCATAAAAGAATCCACACACCTGTTCAGTGCAGACGCTCTCGGATGATAGCTGAGCTTACAGTCGTCCGTAATAAATGTCCCAATTAACAGCCCTTTTCAGTTTTTCTAGCTTTGGTCAGACAGAAACCTGAGTTTTGTTCTGCTGCTTCTAAGGCCGAAATCTTTCTGGAGCACGAGGCAGGAAAAAAAAGAGTTTCACGCTTAACCAGTTTCTGAATTTATATATAAATAAGAATAAGCAGAGAGATTTCAGATATTGTTGGGTATGTTTCATCCATGCCACTCAAAGCAGGGAATGTATTTTTTTTCCAGCGCCGTGGACATCTGCTCTGTGGGAAGTCCACGGTAATAAGTCACAGTCATGCTGCTAATGCTGGAATTAATCTTCAGCAGTACAGTCACGTCAAAACATATCAGAAAGCTTAAGTTAGAGAAATTATTATGCCATTATGTGTGCGCTTGTGTGCCAGTCTGAGACCAATAAATCTAACTGCCAGTAATATGGGACAAACACTTTTGCTTCGAGTCCACTAGTGTTGTCCAACTTTGATAGAGCTGTCAGGATTGATTTCTTCCACATATATGTATTGTGTATTTCAAAATGGGAAAAATTCTGAATGACTGCATTGCGATATTTCATTCTGATTCTACTCAATACACAAATAGAGTTGTTGCTATTTATTTAATCCTGTGATAGATTGATGCCTCGCTGAGATAGATCCAGATCAGTATACTGGAAGGGAGGTACAATTTAAAAGTTCTGGTTGTTTTCATGATTCAAAAAAAAAAAAGAAATAAATCCCAAATATGTATATTTTGTTTGAATATTCACAAGAAAAAAAAACGGTGGTGTCCAAACCTCCTGCTGGGCGATGTCCAGAATGCGTTCCAGGGTCAACTCTTCAAAGTAAAGGCGGTCGCACTCGTCGAAGTCGGTGCTGACCGTCTCAGGGTTGTGGTTCACCACCACCGTCTTCTTGCCCATGTGTCTCAGGGCTCTGATGCTGGACACGGCACACCAGTCAAACTCCACGCTGCTGCCTGGTGGACCAAACCATTGATAAATATGAGTGTGCTGGTCATAAGCAGGAGTTAGACAATTACACAACAGCGTAATTCCGATATTTGCTTTCCATGCAAAGTATATTGTATAATTTACGTGGAAATTCCCTGTGAACCCTGTTGCTCCCTGGAAAAGGTTCCACATTACTGGAAGAGAGCTGATAAGTAGTTCATAGTTTAAGTTAGCAATTCTAACTCAACTTTTGGTCAAATTCCAGAAATATCCCTTTTCAGTTCGCTGTCTGTCCGCTCTGTGTGCGCGCTGGAAAGTTACTCTACAAAAGAAAGGTCTAAATAAGATAAAGTTAAATTAGATAAAGGTTTACTGTCACACTCACCAATGTGATAGGGTCCACAACCAAGAACCATAATTCCCTGGTCCTTAAAGTCCAGATCGTGCTCCTGGTGAAGGAAATGAATCGACAAAACCATTCGTACAGATTTTCTTTCTTAATAGACATCAGTATTTCTTTAACACCCATCTTTCCATGAACGTCACCAGCATTGTCCCTTTAATTATTCTTTTCTTAGGTACACTTTAATAACCGTTTCTTTTAGTTAGCAGTGCCCACATACCTGACCATGATAAGTACAGTATAAATAGTTGGTCATTGCTGGGTACTCTGCTGCCAAGGTGTCAATCTGAAAAACAAAAGAGAAAATAAAAGGTTAACATGGGTCATTGTTAAAAAAAAGTGCATTTTCTCTTTCACACAGAAAATATTTAAATTTCCATCTTACATTTTAAAAAAAAAAATTAAACAATCAATTAGAGGAACCAAGTGGAAACCAGTTTGAACCAAGTACAGTTCAGATAACTGGCCATAAGAAGTGATTTTAGATGATGACTGCGTTCCTTTTAGTAAAGGATTAAATGCAGGACTATTACTTGTACTAGATATTACTCCATTGATGTATTAACCAACAATGGATTTATGCCTGATATAGCTGTGGTTGTTTTCAAACCTTTAGCCCATGTTAGTCAGTCAATCACACATTTGTGGATGACGACAGCTTTAAAAAAAAAAAGTGCCAGGTGAGAATTTTATCCAGTTTCCACATAGAAACCAAACATTTGCATAATCCTTCCCCCTCACTGCCCACCGCTCCAGAAAGAGTCACCACTTCACAGTCCAGCAGGTTTACTTACTTTCTAGAGCTGCTAACCGTGAAAGATACGACCAAATATTTAGTTGAGGGCTGCAGGAGCAAACCCCAAGATTTATTTATTCATTTTAGGAGACCTGAAACCAGTAAGTGGGACTGGGAGTGCACCACTGTCTTTCCATCGACTGCTGTCTTGTCTGTGTAACCCAAACCCAGCCGGTGTCCGGCCCGTTAAACCTGCTTCTCTCCTGCTCTCTGTGCTCTTATATGCTGTATTTTAATAGCAACTGAATTCCAAGCTGCACTGCTAAAATACAGATTTTTTTTCCTTTATACCCGTTACATATTTTCATACTCCTCTTTTTTGTAGTCATGGCCAGATATACATGTTTGTGTATTGATCAGGCAGAGTCAGTTACTTCAGTCCATCAGGCCTAAAGAGTCCAGTGATGCTCACCTGTTTGACCCAGGGTCTGATGCCATGACTGAGCCTCAGCTCTCTGGCTTTTCCCTCGCTGGAGTCCAGGATCTGACCGACCTGCTGGTCTGAGAAGCCGTTCTGCTTGGCCTTCAGCAGCAGCCCCTTGGGTACCGAGCCACTGTAGGAACAGACAAGAAGTAATGGTAATGACACAGCTCTAAGCATTCACAGTGTCACACTTTGTCTACAGTTTAAAGCTGCTTAAATTTAATTTAACTTTATTAAATGAATACTAGGCAGTTTGAAGGAGGTTTCTTTTTTCTCCCTCTGGGTATATAAAGCAGACATTAGGATCGCTGACATAAATATTTCAGTCCATTTGCATTGGATCAAAAGCACTCGTCATTTTAACCAAACCCTCCATTATGGAAAAAGGTACCACACACTATCAGCTGCAAAGTAGAGGTTAGCAGAGTCCATCAATCACCTCTTACACCGTAACGACATGTACGCTTGTCATAAAAGAAAAAGTGAGGTCGACATAAAGATGTACAAGTGTGTTTATTCCAATGTTCCTTTCTGTCTCCGTCTCCTCTCGCACATCCGTGACTTTTCGAGTCCGCTGAACTAAAAGGCTGAAACCAGCAAGTGGGTCACGACTGACCCAGCGGTGTGGACAGCGAGGAACAGCCCACCTCGGATCGATCGACAGCAAATTGACCAACAATGTGCAAAGTTGCCAGGGCACCAGGTTGGCAAGTGCAGCCGTTTAGAAGCCGCGCTGGTCAATAAAACTCCATTGTGAGCCGTGAGGTTGAACAGAAGAAGTAGCAGGGAGGTGAAGTTGGGTTTAAAGAGGTGATTCCGAACAAGAAAAGGGTAGATTATAAAAAACCAAGGAACCCGTTTTGGATGTGCACTTTCATGTCTCTCTGTAGATATAAAGATATAGATTTCAAATGGCTGGATTCTGTCCTTGTTGCTTTTCCTCTTATCTAACTGTAACTGACAGAACAGTAACAAAAACAAGCAGAGAACGTTAAAACTAAATCAGTTAAACTCCAGCATCCTGCATTTCCTATCAATTTAAGCTGATTTATGACACATGACACGACAAATTTAAGGTAAACAAGAGGCCTGGAGTTTATTCCTGACTAAGAAATAACCAGAAATGATGACCAGCTATCCACACCGCCTGTAGTGATTTCTGATGAGCCAGTCTAGTTAAAAAAAACAACCCATTTATACTTTGTTGTTCCCATTCAGAAGTTTGACTCTACAAAACTGGACCCGTCAACACATGGCCACACAACCCACAGTACCGGGTACACGTCGCTATTAAAAGTGCACATAATTAAAAGTACTGCATAATTAAAAACAATACAACATTAAAAGTAAAACAACAAATAAATAAATAAATGTTAAGCCTGAGGCATCAATCAGTTTATGTTTTTTTGTCCTGCAGCAAACCCCCCCCGAACCTCTGCTTATTCTAGGCTCCTGTTTAAAATCCCTCTCCAGGCTTTTGATTAAGGCCATAAAAATTCATCCCTGTGCATCTAAATCACACATTTAGTAGTTTTTTTGTGTCGGTTTTTTTTTTCTTCATGAAAACAATCAATCCCTTTTGGCTCGGATGCAAATCTGCACGACTTTAGAATTCGCTCATCTATGAAGCCCCCACTTGTTCCAGCACGCCAGCTCATCCACAGCTTTGCTCAAACGTTGTAGAATATGTTGACGAAGTTGAGCCACTGTGAAACAATTCTGATGGAAAGCAAGGTGACAGGATTGGCTGCTTCGTTTGTGTTACGTATGAAACCCTGGCGCTCTGAATCCATGTGTTTGATCCTGTTATTGATGCACTTGCAGCGTCGAAGCAGAAATGGCACCGACTGCTTATTTCTCTCTTCGAGCAAAACCACTACACAGACATTGGTGCTTCACTTTCACAGCTGGGGGTCTTTAAATTTCCAACTGATACGGGTACAAAGGAAAGATTTAAATCAATGGCTCACTGAAGTGCTGTCCTCAGATTTGTCCACCAACGTTAACCCTCGTTTATCACCGGATTAGAGGCAGTGTTAAAAAGCTATCCTCTGCCCTTTAAGTTTGTCTTGTCTATCTGTTGCATCATGTTTTCTAGAAAGCTCACCAGCAATACATCTAATAATCTGCTGGATGTTAGAAGCATTTGAAAAACCCGACAACTTCACCGTGAGGACACAGGAGCTCTGGTTATAAAATAGTTCCAGTGCATGTTGTAATATTAAAACCAAAGTACAAATACGACGAGCTGCTGAAAGTGCCCCCTTTGGCAGAGCTAGGCAAATTCTCCCTTTGCTTTCTGATTCAGTGCCAAGCTAAACGGAACACATGAATGCACAGTGATGAAATTGATATTGATCTTACCATCTAACTCCCACAAACAAGGCAACAAGCGTAGTTCCCATAATGTAGTAGCATTCTTTTAACCCTAGGTAGAGACAATAGGAAGGATTTTTTTTTTCTCCCCCTCTCTCTGGTAAACCACAAATTGCTCTCCCGCCTCCTTATCTGAATTATTTATGACCTCATAGCGTAACAATATTGGAAATGTCAAGTGTGCTTTAACTCCCACTGCACATGGCTTTGCTGAGAAATAACAAACCCTAGAAACAACAAAAGGAGAGCAGCAAGTCAGAATCACAGGATGGAAAGGCATTTGATCTGAGAGCTCGGTTGTCTTGTGTGCAATTATTATGTCTGGAAAAAGCAGTTTAAAGCTGGAGGGAAATCCTTCGCAAACCATTAACTTATGTGCATACGCCATTGCGCACAAATAAAACGTGAAACACAGCTCAAAGTTGTGTTGTTTGTGTGTTTGAACAGAGAGTGAGGAAAAGGGGCTCCTTAATATTCCCACATGTGCTTGCAAAAACAGATGTTGACACACAAACTAAATCTGAAAACAGGAAGAACCGATGTCTTGAATTTGACACTCGCAAGCAAGTCTCACGTATACCTCATCTATGTCCTCAGGTGATGTATTGCCATATTCTGCTGTGTGCAAGTTAAACTTTCAAAATTGATTTTTCAAACCTATAATCCAGCATACAACTGCCATATACACACACACATAGTTGTTCGTCAGTGGTTACAGGTAGCTGCAGCAGCTATAGCCGTGGCTGTGGCTCATTGGTAAAGCACCTTGTCTGCTAATCATAAGGTTTGATAGCAGGCTCCTCCTTTACTGTACAAGCTCCAGCAACTGTAAGTAAACTGCAGCAGCAATAAGCAATCACAGGTGCAGCTTCCTCAGAAATTGCCAGTTTTTGAGTGGTGGTGGCTCAGCGGCTAAGGTTGCACTGCAAAGCTGCATTTGTCTAGACCCTTGAGCAAAGACCTAAATCCAATCTGCTCCGGCTAAAATGTGGCTGACTCTGTGCCCTGACTGAGGATGTTAATGAATATTAGTTTAAGCAAAAGACATGCATGTCCTAAAATGTGTTGTCGATTATCTGTAGTACCTGGTTGGGCCACCAGGTGGATCCTCTTACTGTTTAACACTGTAGAGACCCGAGGAGGCGTCACTTGGACATCCGTCAGTTCTGTGTTGGCCAGCAGGGACCATTGTGGGAGTTTAGCTAGTAAATTTCAACCATGTGAAAGAGTCCTGTGACACTAAATAGCTCCCAGTCAGAGATCTCATCTTTTGTGGAAGTAGATGCGATCTGAAGTCACTGACTACTTAAAGTACAACATGGATAGTATTTAACCCGGACATACACCATATCGACAGTGTATGACATGTGATCGCAACAAGCGAGTACAATGAACTCGGTTCATTTCACATTGTTCATTAGGTAATAACCATAGACTGTATAAAAGATGGACATAGCAAACGGCCCTGAAAAATGAAGCCAACCCGGAAGTGTCAAAAACCTGCAATAGCTACATCTGCTAGCTGCTGGCTCTACAAAGCCCTGGCTCCCATAGACTGGAATTGGAAAAGAAGTGATCACAGATCATGAAATACTGCATTCCTACAGCTCAGGATTTTTTTCTTATTAGTTTTCATGGTCAGATCCAGAGATCAGGTGGCCAATCTGAAAATAAATCAATACTGAATTTTTAAAAAATCGTCAAAATTTTGCGGGGCAAGGGGCGTGGATGGCTTGATTGACAGTCGGCAGCAACGATGCAGAGGAAGCGAGCAGAAGGCGGTAAATGTGGGCGGGCAGAGAGGGCCCGCCTCTCAATCCGTCTGACCAATCGCTGCTCCTATGGCCCCGCCCCCTCCGACGATTCAGGAAGTAGCAAAACCCTGGCTTCATTTTCTCAGTGCAGAAACCAACGGGTGACGTCACGGTAGCTACGTCCATCTTTTATACAGTCTATGGTAATAACTGCATAATAAGGCTATCGGTTAGGGAAATCAGCAAAATGTTGCATCCTTCGCTCTGGGCCTTGCTTCCTATCAAGCTACGCAAAAAGACTTGAGTCTGTATTTCTTTACTGAGATACCGCATTTGTCTGTGAACTGAATCTCAATCAAAGTGTGTCGTGCAGCAAGACAACGACCTGAACACACACGTTTTTCCACCAAAGAACAGTTAAACAAGAACAAAGTTTAAGTTAATGTTTTGGAACGGCCAAGTCAAAGTCCTGAGCTGAATCCTGTAGAAGGTTGTTAAAGGAACTGAAGGGAGCAGCTCGTGTGATCTATCAACAGCCGTTGTTTCAAGGTTAAGCAAACTGAATATATTCAGCGATAGCAATAATCCCAACATTAAACAAGACTCTGTTCAAATTTCTAAAAAAAAGGGGAAAAAAAGCTTTGTTTCTCATATTCAGTCATAATTATCCTTCAGTCGTAACTGCAGCATCACTCTTTTGCACACAAAGAGTCTGCTGACCAGCAGAGCGTGAAGCCCACCTGCACTCAGCTCTATGCTCCATCAGCCTGGCAGCAGCTTAATGTTGTGTGCCCATCCCAGTGTCCCCTGCACCAGAGGCAGGGGAGACTACAACAATCCTCCATGTGTCAGCATGTTGCACTGGGCGCCCACCAGACGGCCAGCCATTAATTATTAAACAGCAGAGTCAGAAGAAAGCAGCAGGGAACCTGTGGCTGAGCCATGATAATTCACCACGGCTTTGATTTGAGCTATCCAGGTAAGAGCTGGAGGGCAAAGAGAGAGAGAGTCAGAAAGAGGGACGCAGCTGAGAGGATGCGAACCCTGAGCGAAAAAGAAACGGAGACGTGAAGAGACTTGGGCTCGTCTCATTTGTGAGAACCAACATTTTCTGAGTTTTATTCAGTGATTTCTAGAAAGAACAAATTTAAGTTTCCCCAACATTTTATCCTACTTTGAGAATGTTTACCGATTTCCAATTCCCAGAGCCACCGCCTGCAGCTTTTTAATGTGTCAGCAGGAAGCAGGAATTACCAATGCGCCGTGTGTTGGTAGGACTTTGGTGCAGTTTGGAGGAAACATGTAAATTGGAACATTTGCAACAGTAAGCAGGTGCTAGATTTGGAAAAACACTCTGCATGAAACAATATGAAAAAAAAAAACACAACAAGCTGCGATAGCAAAACATCCACATGTGTTCATGTCATAGACTGTATATAAAAGATGAATGTGGCCTCCAGGCATTACAAGTGACGCCAAAGCAGACGTGCCTTGAACCTGCACTCCAATGAGGCTGATTATACATGAGGACAATAACCCTGCTTGTCCCTAGACTCTGTCAACATTCTCCTGAGTTGTTCATGGTCTCAATCACTAGTTTAAAGTCTCCATTAATACTGAATCACGTTACCTTTGCAATTTATGGTCCAGATTAGCGTAAAATAGAGAATGAAGTAGGATATGCTTTAGTGTTGCTGCGTAGTGTCCTTGTGTCCTCAGTCAGATCCACTACTTGTTCGTTCGTCCATAAGGCTTCAGAGCAGTGGTGGCCGACGTCATGGTGGTTATGTAAGTTTTTTTTTTCTTTTTTTATATACAGTCTATGATTCATAACTTTATGAAAATCTGATGTAAATTTCCTGAGATTTCACCAAACATTGGGCATAGCTTGTCCACCAGAAATTATTCATGTAGTCAGTTGTGGTCCACATTAGTTGTTGAGATCCTGCTACAATAAATGTTTATGGTTTGTCTGTCTTTCTATGTAGCAATACAGCTTTTCCTATAAAAGCCTACAGCAAAGCTCTGATACTCATCTGCAAACCAACAAAGTCATGGACAAGACTAATACAAGAGACAACCGGAAGATGTGGTAGAGGTGACAAAGTCAGCTTGGGGACTAGACCAGGAATAACAGTATATTCCATAAAGTTATGAATTTAGCTCATTATTTAATGGTCAACACACTGCGCTACAACAAATTACACCTAAATAGCTGGAAGTACGAGAATTTGGATGAGATTTTCCCACTAAAATATAACTATAAATATAGTTTTCAGCCATAAGAGAGAAGCAAGATCAAACCACATTTGGATTTTTAATACACATTAAAAAAAACAGCATATGACTCAAACACCCCATAACTATAATATGAATAAATTACAGAAGTGGGTATCTTGTGTTACCTCTTGTAGGTTCCCAGGTGCTGCTCCAGCTGCGTGATCCTGTGAAGTTTATGGAGGAACCACTTGTCGATGGCCGTCAGCTGGTGGATCTGATCAACACTAATGCCGCTATGGAGAGCCTGAAAGGTAAAGACATGGAATAGACTCGGTGTTATCAAGGTCATCATTCATGCCCCTTCCTGGAGCAGACATTCAATAGGTTCAACACGATTCTGTGATCAGTCGCTAATGATTAAAATCTTCTTACAAACCGCGCAGTGACCCGTCACCGGACTGGAACATCGCTATAAATATTATGTTTTTGTCAAGTCGTTCTTCAAGGACTATTTCAGGTAAAATCTATTGCAGCGGCAGTACATTACTTTGGCATTTTATTAAAAATCTGTGTCAAACCCAGCCCGTGTCATCAACCTGTAATATAACAGAGGTTCTGCCCTGACAACAGCCAGTAAATACTTTTTATCATCTTTATATTAGATGTCTGTGCAGAGAAATCCTTCCAGCAGTGTGGGTGGATTTTAGTCAACAGTCTTTAGAACTGTAAAAGCTGCCATAAGAAACCGGCAGCTTGCTGTGGCTTTTAGTGAAAGCTTTAGCAGTGCAGTTACTGTTCGAACACTTAAATATGCTGCAAACAATGCCGTGTGCAACCAAGACACATGCTTATGATGGTTGAAAAACACCAGCGACGCCTAAATGTAGCTCATTTTCCTCCATTATCTATTAGCTAATCAGCATAACTAGTGTCTGAATACTTATTCAGGTGGGGAGCTTATGGCCATGACTCTTGTTCTTTTATGATTTATCCATTATGACAATGAAATATTGTCCTTAATGGTCTGGACCTTCAAAAGTCTGTTGCATAATAGAGAGTAAGCAGGTTAAGCTGAAGTAACAGCAGCTGGAGTGACAACCGAGCAGACTTGGTGTTTGATCGACTGGAGATAAAGTGTGGATAAATGCAGCGGGCCACGGACAGGTACCGGGCCGTGGGTCATTTGGTACCGGGCCGTGAGTCATTTGGTACCGGGCCATGGGTCATTTGGTACAGAAAGAAAAGAAAACATTTTATTGGTTTATTTTTTATTTCCAGCCGAGTCTGCAGGGTGTTTTATTTTGAAAAATGACCAGCTCGTCTTCCCGTCGCATCCGTCTGTGCTTGTTTTTCGCACTTGACTCAGTTTTTATCCGTTAAACGAAGCAGTCAGTCTAACGGTTGTCGAAATTAATAACAAACGTCTCAGGAGAGCTTTGTTGGAAAGTGGACGAGAGATTTGATACTGAGACAGAAGAAAAATTAAACACGTATTTAGCAAGTAATTTTATTAATTTAGGAAACTTTTTAATAGAAAAAAATAATATATTTTTTGCTACGTGCCGGTCCGTAGAAAATGTTCTTGCTCAAAACTGGCCCGTGGTGCAAAAAAAAAGGTTGGGGACCTCTGGATTAATGTACATAATATAATTCCAGGAACTATTAAGTTGGTTTTCCAAAATGGGAACAACATACAACACAGTTACGGTGACAAACTGCTTCCTTATGTCTGTATATTGAGTGCGACTCACTCATCCAAAAGAAAAAAGCACAATAAACAAAATAAAGAGAATTTAGACTGATAGCATTATTTATTTCTTATACTCTTTTGGTTAAATTCTGTACAGGTATTGCAATAATATCATTACATTTTTGGGGCCGTGATAACTGCGTAGTGAAAATCTGACTTCCCTAAAGTGGATCATTAAATGCTGCCCCCACCTCCACTGAACTCCCTCTAAGACTCGGTAAATAGATCTATCTGCACTGTGGGGACACAAAGCTCACACTTCTGACACTGACGCGACCTCATTCTGCTCTTCTCTTAGCTGTTGATAAAAGCAGCTTGAAGCGCTGGACCAGGAGATGTTTTTCACCTTGCAACGGTTCATGCAAGATGTCTGTGTTTGAATAATGGAGCTTGACCCTGTGTCTCGCTGAGCTTGTAAAAGTGCCGTCTCACCTTCATCTGATTCTATGAGGAAAATTACAGACCAACAGCTCTGCATTGGAAAAGCACAAAAGCAGATGTGGCAAAAAAGAAAGATATTTCACATTGTGTGATTTTGATTCATCCTCGCTCACATTTAAACATATTTGAAAAGGCCACACTGTCAGACGTTTAATGACAGATTAGACGTGTTTTCCAAGTGTTATAACTACTTTGCATCCGTTTAATTAAATCAAAATTTAAAGACAAGCGTTCACACACAGTTAGGAATTCTCAGCTCGGCGTGCGGGGACAATTTTTCAGTAACACTTCAAAATGTGATTTTAATGAGAAAACTGCAGTCGGTGTCATTCATTATTAACGTTATGAAGGATTAATGTACCTTGGCGAGGGAGAAGATGCGAGTGCTGGAGGGCACAGCCAGCTCCTGTTGCAGATCCTGGGTGTCGGCCCAGGCTTTCTTGAGTGGCAGCCGGGGCACGAAGCCATCCACTGATGGATGACACATCCTCAAGGCCTTCTGCACGCTCTCCTCAAAGGTCCGGCCCACTGCCATCACCTGAATCCAGAGGAGGAGGATGTGTGACAGCGTGATATAGGTGTGTCAGGATCCTGAATAAGTGAGTGAGTGAATATTTATTCATAGATCATCCGCACCTCTCCAACACTCTTCATGGAGCTGCCTATTTCTCTGGACATGCCCTGAAAGCGGTCCAGGTCCCAGCGGGGAATCTTCGTGACAATGTAGTCCAGACTGGGCTCGAAGCAGGCCGTGGTCTTCTCCGAGACCGCATTCTTGATTTCTGGCAGAGGAATTCCCAGAGCTAGCTTAGCAGCTACAAATGCCAAGGGATACCTGAGAGACAAGGACGAAGGGACAAGAAGAGCAAAATCAAGTAATCGTGGACGACAGTGGGCAAGTTTTCAACCTCGTGTTTGTACCGGATAAACATCTTCTATCATGAAAATGAAAATGAAAAATGAAAATGAAAAATACTTTATTTATCCCAGAAGGGAAATTCAATATTGTAAAAAGCTCACTTTTTTTTTTTTAAATCAATATAACATATATATATATATATACACAACAATAATAATCAGTCAGTCAGTCAGACTTGTTCTTCAAGGAATCATCCCCAACCTGCAGTGATCATCATTAAAACTCTATTTATTTTCTTACTTGGTACTTTTTAAATGTTGTACTTTATTGTGTCCTACTGGAAAAGTCCAAGATATTATTCATGTTGTGAAGATGTTATAGTTTACAATCTAAACTGTATTTTTCTATCCTTTGACATTACTTTATGGCATCACGTACACCGTGTTTGTTTTAGGAATCAACTGAAAGAATATACTAATAAATCATCCCTCAAACTGTTTTTGTCTTTTTTTCATATCGTGATGTTCTGTTGGATCCGTGGACACACTGACTGGACTTTACTGTAACTGAGATTGTCAGTTTTTCTATAGAAACTAATGAACCTTCCCACAGTTTTACAGGAAGGACTCTGGTTTACTGGATGAGATGTTGCTTGAAGCTGTACAGCAAAGTGAATAATTGTCAATTGATGTTAAATGAATACATGTATGACATATTATCACACATTTTGCATACATGAGACCCAAAGCATAAGCTCATGTGCAGTATAAATAAATACAGATTTTATTGGTAAAAAAAAACGACTAAGCCCTCAGACTAACTGTTCTTCTCACCAACAAGCTTTCCATCCATTTAATTTTACAAAAATCTACATGCCTTAGTTCAGCTAAAGAACCCAAACAACTGCTCTGTACCAGGTTTAATTTCTAATTTCAGGCTACTGTCATTGTGTGCCCTCTGTCCCTGTACATATTCTATCTCACCCGGTAGCTTTGGATGCCAGCGCTGAGCTTCTTGAGAGCCGGGCGTTGACTTCGATGATGCAGTACTCCAGGGACGACGGGTGCAGGGCGTACTGGATGTTGCATTCGCCCACAATCCCAAGGTGCCGTACCACCTTGATGGCGGTCTCGCGGAGCATGTGGTACTCCTCGTTGGACAGCGTCTGGCTCGGCGCCACCACGATGGAGTCGCCTGCAGCGGGAAGAGAAAGGGTGAGCAGCTTCGAACTTTTGATTAAAGAGAAAGTGGCAGGAAAGCGAATATTAAAGACATCAGTTATGCTTCGTAAAGAAAATCTGTTTACTGTAAAGCATAAAAAGAAAAAAAAAGGTTTTCTTGTCGTCCCTGGTGAAACATTTCCTTAAACATCTTCATTTTAAATGTTTGGGTTTTTCTGTATTTTCTTCCAAATACTTTAGAATATCTTAAACAGAAAGAAAACAAAGCTGGTGTCATCTGAATGCCAGTTTTTATCGTTACTGTACACTTCTTAGAATCAGAGACAAACATGTGCACAACAAGCTGGCATTTCAGTCTGTACAATTTGTTCTAGAAAGTTTTCATCCTTTTTTATACGAGAGAAGCTTTAGGGCCAGAGAGTACTACAATTTGTTTTTTCAGAAAAAAACACCAAACAGCACATTTGTCCGTTTATCGTTTTTGGAACTTGTAAGGAGCACTTTATGCCAATAAAGCGTAATGAATTGAATTGAATGCAGAACTGAACTGAACCCAGATGCTTATGTTTGCTGCTCAAGTAGCGTTGCTCACTACTTTTCTTAAACTACAACAACAACACAAAGAAGTCAGACGGGGACAGCAGCTTTCCAACAACATCACAATGTTGTGAGAGCTACTGAGTTTACCAAACCTTACCTTGAAAGGTTTGGCAAACTTCAACAACCTGCTCGCCATGACAAAAATGCCAAGAAAACCTGCTTCAAGTACCCTCCTTAGCGAGAGAGAGAGGGAATGCGTGATTTTATTTTATTTTTTTGAGACAAAAGCAAACAGAAGAGTTTGTTTCTGTCACAGTCATTGTCTCAGAAACAAAGCAGAAAACTAGAATCACTGCCTCGTAGATGTATGCTGCTGCAACCAAGTGAAGCTGTTGTTTATATTCATTTCTGTCCAGACTCATCTGTAGTGAAAACTGTTGAGTTATAGCCAGAAACTGCACAGACATGCTCTGATACAGACAACAATGAGCAACAAATACATAAAGCATAGCATCATCTCTCCTGTCCATAGTATTTGCAGTGTTTCCCTGAACTGACATCGTGTTCAAACGGGACTGGACCAACTGTTCATATGGATCAGGAGCAATGGAGGGCTGGTTGTGAAAAC